AGTATCTTATGCAGAAGAGTTCGTCGATGGCGAAGAAAACAGAGCACTATGAAAACAGAGTCTCTTTGAACAAGCACAATTCGACTGTTGTTCGAAATCTTGAGAACGGGAGAATATTCAGATCAGTACGAATTATTCGGGACCTTTTTCATCAGGAACTGCGCCTGTAAATCAGGAAGAGTATCAAGAATTTGTGCATTACGATGAGGCGCACAGGGATCTGCTCGCTTAGCAGAAGTTGACGAGAAGATAAACCAGTTCAAGTGAAGCAACTAAAGTGCCGGCAAAGCGTAATACAACTACAAATCTGCATTACTAGCCTTGTTCAGGGCGAACAGGAAGAAGGGGTTCGAACCCTCCAGGTCAAAATATCGGTCCTATTCCACTCAAATCTTCAAAAAGGCGTGTATTTGCAACACAGCTGATAACAAATCGTAATCTAACAGGACATACCGAGTATTAAAGATTTGAGTTTCAAAATTGGCCCTTGTCAAATTGAACTTCAACAGCTAACTGCTTTATTTCAGGGTCTTATTGCAATAATCAAGATTAATGTCTCAAAATACCGAAAGCGTCATGAATCTATGAAACGGCTAGCAGAAAAGTATCAGTTGGCCGAAAATATCCGAAGCGCCAAATATTTGATATGCATTGCGATCAACGACTTTGTCTGTAGGGTAAGACGACAATCTTTTTGAAAATTTTTCAAACGAGGAATTTACTCTCATTCCCAGCAACAATACGTGATAACCTAATTCTTCCGAATCGTTACATCTATGTATTTGAAGCCCTATGAATGTGCATATGTACGGGAGGAAGTGCTGTAGTGGCAAGTGAAGCGGTACCGCACCTGCTTTGCTGTTGTTGTGTTGTTCGAATCCTGGATCGATATCCATTCAGGCTAATAAAGCCTCCCATCCCTGCCGGATCGGTCAATTGGTACCAGACTTGTCTGGGAGGATAAAAGGACTGACTTGTTTGTCGATTGGATACCGCAATTCACTGTACAGGCTACACACGCACTCAATACGCCACTACGATTCTGAATGGAAGTCGAGTGCAGGGGCACGTCCCTCAGACGGAATTGATCAATGCCCAAAGACTTTATCCTTCACATACGTATATGTATGTATGTATGTACGTGCGTATGCATGTATGTATGCAGTTATTGATTAAAGAATATTTATATGTAAGTTGAATGATTTTGAACTAAGTAACCTAATAATCTAGTAATTTCAAACTACATAGTCTCGAATCTAAATTTATAGCTCTTTCTGTTGATTATTTAGATTATTTATGTTGCATTGGTAATGTATCCAATTGTTTTCAAAGGTATCCCAATGAATTCTGACAAATTCCTCTCACCTCAAATCTTCGACATAGTGAGTTATTTATGTGGTAGTTATAAGAGACTTGAAAAAATGGAAAAAACAATTGGACTTTTTGCAACTGTGTAACTCAAAATTGTTGATTTTCAGTTGTTCGCTTATCAACGTATTTTTGCTGGCTTTGCACTGGCATTGCAATGTGAGAAGTTCCGTCAATTGATCTTACAAAGGAAGAGAGCTATGCAGATAGTTGATGGTCGAAATGATGCTGCTGATATTTACTTTGGTAAACTCAAAGCAATGTGGACGTAGTATCTGCTTTGTTTCCTTCTATTGTCGGATTCGTTTTGGTAAAAATGAATCTATACTACGGTGCTTTGGACCGCTGCCGTATTTCCATGTTCCAGTCGCTTTGCTGCTTATTGAGTTGCTGAATCCTAAATTTAATTCTGATATTCGCTTCTGCTGCAATGATCCCATGAAAGAATTAATTTTCGAGGGGCAAGACGTCACATGTTGTCGTGTCGCGTCACATGTGCACTGAAGCTTGCTAATCTTCAGCTATGGAACTTATCTACGCGCCTAATGGATCACTGTATTCATATACAGAATCGCTGCCTTTTTGAATGTACTTTCATTGCTGAAAACTCGCATTTCGTACCGATTCCAATCTGACTATGTCCTTCTTCTTCTTTCAATCATTCAGCGCACCTTCCTATTACAGTAGCGCTCGAAAGTGTTCGGTGAAATGCTTTGACGCTTTTTCGTTCATAACTTTTTTCTCAGTAGACCAAATCGCGCAAAATTTGGATATGTTTAACTAGATCATATTTCACCCTATCCAACACCATTTGACTGCAAAGCTGGAATATCCACAGATAAAGCAAGGTGTTTGTTGCNAACTAAAGTTTTTGACGACTGCACTTATTCGCACCTTATGTGCGTTTTTCTCATCCACTGTGTTCGGCATTACCGCTCGTACGTTTTCGACATGACAAAACGAAAGAGATTCTACTAGAAGGGCCATCATCTGTATTTTCAGTTGTTTTTGAATTCAAACTCTTTAGTATATCTGGAACATGATCAGAGTGCAGGTTAATAATGGTAAATATTCACAGTACACCCACGCTCCACATATAGAAATGTCGCATGATCCAATAGGAAAGGAGTTACGACTGAAAAGTACGGCTGAAGAACCATTTCACCGAGACTTTCGAGCGCTACTGTATATTGGCATTATGGCTGTTTCTGCGCAACTTTTCCCATTGATTCAGAAATCCAAAAATTAAAGAGTTTTACGGAGCAGTTTTTGGAAGATGTCCATAATATGGACCTGGCGATGAATTGTGTCGTCAAGCGCCAGCCGCGGTTGAAGAAGTTAAGAATAGAAGTGGAAGTACGTCATAACGCCGTCTGAGGATTTAAGGAATCCAGGGGAATATGATCGGACGGTAGGAAATTTTCGCGGCTTCTCCCTTTTTGAGGTATCATATTGGGCTTAAAATCGGATGCAGTGGCATGCGCTGCTTAGACAAATCGAAACCGAGCAATTTGATCTCTCACATTTGCACAAACAAACAAGCACTCCCGTTGTGCTCAGGGAGTGATCGAGCTTACCACAGAAATGCAAATCGAGGGACACAAATCTTTCTTACAATTGGACAGATGCGCACAGTTCGAGCAAATCATCCTGGGCCGAATAATCTGAAGGAAAAAAATTTATTTCACCACATCTGTTTTAATTCATCGTGATAGTTAAGGGTTGCAGCTATTTGAATTTGGACAGCTGCAGCCGTTCTCTTGTGGCGCTTCATAATGTGATCGAACTTCTCACTGCGTATCGTCAAGGCCAGGCCAAAAAACATTCGCTGATATGCCGATAACTAAATTCGTTTCTGAAACAGTTTACAGTAACCTATTCAACACTGTAAAGAACTAACCAAGTCGTAGGCGTGGCTAAGATGAGTAGTGTCCTGTCCAAGAGGAATGTTGGTGAAGAAAATCGAATAAGTTACAAGCATAATGAGCAGTACCTGAATTACGGTATATAAAAAGCCAGATTTTTGGATAAAACTCTGATTAATTGATAATTTCTGGTTGAAGGAAATTGATGACTACAGTTTATACCATGGGGTCCCACTTAAGAGGGACAATTAGGTGCCGAGAGATTTGACTCATTACCTTTCTTTGTTGAGAAAAATATAGTAGAGAATAGCAACGATAAATGAAGTAGAAAAAGGTCATTAAAGTTACAATTGGAGCCACGCCAAAATCTCTACAAAAATGCTGACAGTTATAAGAGTTGGAACATGATGGAACGTACAGCTGATGTTCCTGCCTTTGTGACCAGCTGCTTCTTCATATCATTCCAGTTTTTTATTGAATAAGCCTGTTTCTTTGTACCGTCTAGGGTATGGTCAGTTTTGTGAAGTTTTTCCGCTGCTTGCATGCGAATTCTCGCAAAGGCATTGAATGAGTCTTGTTTGTCTCGAGAGCGTCGAGAGTCTTACCACGGTAACTTTCTAGACTGCAAGGGAACCTACTAATTCTGTTCGGAAGTAGCGAATGTAGTGGAATTGCTCAATTACTTTTGCTTTAGAGGTTTTAGAACCTTAGCGCCCATAATTTGGAATGTTCCATAAGTACACAAATGAACATGCTATTATAGCTTGATAGGTTAGGTTCTGATAGGTTATGGGCAAAGGTTTTCCTCGGAATTTCAAAAAATCGCGTCATAGGAATAAGGCAGAAAAACTCCATGGAGAATACAACAGAATAACTTCCTTCGTAGTGCCTTTCACATGGCTTCAAAAGATGCTGGGGTGGAAGGCGTGCAGTGGTCTCGCCGGGAAAATCTCATAATAGGCGAAGATTTGAAGGATCGGCTAGGACTCTGGCCCGGGTTATTATCATTATTCCTGGTTAGCGCTTCGTCCTGTCCTTATCCACCCAAGGAACATCTCGGAGTCCAACTCTGAGTGAATGTGGATGGAGCGAGAGCTGAGATACCATAGAAGGTTGGAAGTCTTACATGGCCCGCTGTACAGCTGAAGCAAGGACCGCATCCGTCCGTAGGTTTTGTCGTCGATTTTGATATACGTATATATATATATATATATATACTCTTATATATTTGTGTACATCTATTTGTCATTATACTTCGTAGTAGTTCACAGTTTCATATTATTAGTCGCCTGTATTTAACCACTTACTATTTTATCGCTTATTTGTAGTAAATTCAAAAGCTTGCAAAGTTGATTCGCGGGATTGGTGCGTTGGTAAAGTCGTATTCATCCTGCACCTTATAACATCGTCCCAGGGCACAGCGACTAGGCAGTGGACGTACTTCCAATGCATGGAGGGAACACCACGTTGGACGCGCAGTCCTTAGCGTACTGCGGTGGCGGTTACATTTTTACAATTGGCGTGGGCCTGCTTGGATGCGAAGAGCGATCGAACCCGTGTGGCAAAGGAGTGGGAGCAGGCAACCTTGCATAAGTTTCCATCATGCGTGCTTTCCGTCACTAAACTCTCCACCGATTCAACACCCCGTCGCAACACTTGTACTCAAAAACCAGCTATCTTGTATACTGATTTATCGAGTTGACAGTTCTTACCTTTCATGAGGTAGAGGCTGATGAAAGAACACTTGACACGTAATGGTAGCAAATGCACTCTTAGAAATAGAATACTTATTAACGACTTTTTTGCAACTGCAATTTTTTATCTAATGAAGGTACCTTTGTCAGCATGTCGTTACACGCGATCGGGATCAGATACCTTCCGACTCGAATATTCTCATCCAGCTGGTATCGTCTGGCTAAACGAATCCGTGCATCATGTCGTTTTTTGTATGAAGCCTTGTTGAAAGTGATAATCACAATCAAAGCCTGAAAATGTTAACTGCAAACTTTATACATAGAACATTGAGAACCAATAATTATCAGGTCTCCTGAATTATTCCTCACAATTTCAAATACGACAACATGTGACTTTTCAGGTGTGTCTGAAAAGGACTGTTCTGAAGGGGTCTCCGTATTTCACGAGTAAAGGAAGCAGGATGGGCAGGCCATGAATGGCAATTGGGATTGGTTTCATGATGTGTTCCGTGATCGGTTCCTGAGAGGCATCTTCTAGTAATCAGTGTTTCAAAGGCACAATTCGCTATGAAAATGGCTTAGAGACATGCTACTGTATAAATGTGTGGCCCCCTCGTACCCCATATGTGGTGCTGCCAGGTTGGAAAGCGGTCGAGATAGGGCGTTATAGAGGCTCAAACTTCGTCTCGTGTGTATCGTCGAACGAGTTTCACCGGCATTGCAGAGGCTGCACCATTCACGGAGGAACTCATTCAGGAAGTCCAAACAACTTGTCATTACCAATAGCGACAGTGAAAGTCAACTCTGGACAGCTCTGGCTTGATGTAGTCAGCTCTTTGCGCGATCGCAACAACTGAAG